AACTTTTCATTAAAGATAATGAAGAAGAGTTTAATTCAGTTTATTATTTTTAAAAAATGTTACCCCCAACATGGAATTTCTAAAATTTAATATAAGTAGAGTAGTACTACGACTTTCTGGAGCCTTCTGGAACTTGTTTTTGTTTATTTGTAAGTTATGCTATAAAAACTGTTAAATGCATTAAAATACATAAGTACTATCAAATTCCATCATTAGCAAATTGGAAAATAAAGCTTCTGAAATATTGACCTTTTACCCTTATTGCGTATGTGATAAAATTGAATTTTCAGTTTGGGAATGACCTTTTTCAAGAACTAAAACAAATTTGTTTTTTTTTTTTATTAGTTTCAAAGAAAATTTCATTTATTTATGACACTGGAGCATAGGGTTACAAATAAGTCATACACACACACACACACACACACACACACATATATATATATATATATATATATATATAGTTGATAAAGGACACAGGTGTGTCAAATTCCAACTTAAAATTCTTCTCTCAACAATCAAGTCTTATTATAAAATTAATATTCAGTCAGTTATGTTCCATATGTGATACCTGCTTAGGCAATCATGTATCTTTTGATACATGACTGATGAGGCAGATTTTCTCTCCCCACAGTAGGTGCCATTTCTTTCTGTAATAGACAAGTTGCTATCCAAGGCTATAGAACCCGGTCTGTACTGCTATTTATCCATATCTGGTGGGAGAAGAGGATTCATACCTTTCCCAAGGGAGTTAATGTAATGGATCTGACTGGAATTCAAACACAGTTCTCCAATTCCTCAATCCGAGCCACTATCATTTTCATTGTTTTTATCTCTCAAATTTCATTAATCAGTGTCTATTAAATCTACAAGAAGCATATGGAAGCTATCTTTCTTTATTATAAAATATATTGAAGATGTACAACTTTATATATCAGACTAAAAATAAAAATAAACCCTACATTTCATGTTTTGTCACTGAAAACGATTTTTTCAGACTAATAATGTTTTTATCAATGGATGTATGATGGGGGTGAATTGCACAAATGCTGCTTATAATTCTACATCAAAAAATACTGATGATAGAATAAATTGAAAACTTTTGGTATTAAATATATAGATGTCTAACTGAACTGACCTCGTTCACCTTTCTACTGCTTTTCTTTTTAAATATACCATTGTATTAGTAATTTTATACAGAAATGATCCTGGATGTAAATTTAGTATGGAAGACTTGGAAATTAAAGCACTTTCTATACAATTTCATTGTAATAAATTTTCTCCTTTAATTAAAACTGTATTAGTCAAAATTATGCTCAAACTTCTTACAATGGATGACTAATGAATGTGCGTTGTTTCATAAAAGTTCATATATTGTTATATTTTCAAAAAATTTTGCACATATATATATATATATATATATATATATATATATATATATATATATACACACACCCACACACATATCTATATCTATCTATCTAATATATGTATATATAAAACAGGATTATAAGATATAAAAATAACTATTTCTAATATCCTGGTAGTTATATACCTGAAGATCCATATATAAAAATAGCTGGTAAGCCACCATATGGTCTATATATTTCAAATGATCTTATATACCTTTTAAAAAAGATCTAGTGTGTGTGGAGGGCCCTCAAAAGTTTTACAGAAATTGCAATATTTTCAGAGAGCAACTAAGTATCTGCTTGAGTATGATTGATTTATTTATTTATAAAATTACCTCATTCATTAGACTTTACTTCCCTTGACTGTTGGATGTATTAAAAAGTTTTGTACCTGAAATGTTTTGCATGTTCAATAATCTCAAATTTGGTCAAAACACATTGATTTTACTGCCAGAAATGATAATATTACCCACATACCTGCTAATGATTTTAATGAGAGGGAAAATTGCAACATTAAATCAACTTAAGGTCAAAGTTTTAATAAGCTCATCACCAACCGCAATATTTAATGCAAACTTTTGGCTTCTTTTCCCATTGCTGAAGATGAGAGAAATGATATGGCAAAAAGGAAAGAATTTTGTCTCTAAGTCTTTAAGGTTTAATACATTTTTCTATCATATATATATATATATATATATATATATATATATATATATATATATTATTATGACATAATTTTGTTTATATTTTATCTATATAATTATTTAAACATACTTGATAAATATGACATCCAGTTTTTAAAAAAATAAATTTTCTCTTTGGACCAAGATTTCTGTATAATCAAAACCAAACACTGATATTCTTTGTCAAACTTCAGCCCCACTTCACAAATCTCTAGAATTCTACTAATTCACCTTTTAATTTTAAAACTGTACTGCACAGACTTACTTTACAGTTGGGTATGTCAGACATATATTGTTCATAAACTACTAGCTGCAAAACTTGTCATGCATGAATCCATCTTAACTCAAATTAGTACTATTTGTAAGTGGATATATATATATATATATATATATATATATATATTACATAATATAATATGTGTGTGTGTGCAGCATATCTTCATTCAATCATGTTTGGTTCAATAATCTGGATATATGCCTGAATTTGAGAGGATAAAAATATACATATATCCAGATTATTCAACCAAACATGCTTGAATATGCATATATTGTTATGTAATGCATACTGGTTATTTTATTACACTTGTTAGGAAATCAATTTCAGCAATATTTTGTTAGATATTTTCAAATGATGTTTTTTAGCTTATTTAGAACTTGTTTTAGGGGTTTTATTTGTCTCAAATTCATACACACACACAAACATATATATATATATATATATATATATATATATAAAAACAATGATTCTGCTTCATAAATACAGAAAACTGTTGAAGAGTCTTCATTTGTGGACAAAGACACTCCTTTCTCTCCTGTTACTAATAATATATTCATGTAACTTGATATGCACTTCTCTACAAGAGAGATGGTGGGGCGCGTTCATTACTATATAAAAATCTAATGTAAATTGTTACTTAATGTTTTCTACTATTCATGCACAAAAGAATTAAAAGAAGTGTGTGTGTGTGTGTGTGTGTGTGTGTGTGTGTATATATATATATATATAATGGATTTTATTTCCAATTCAATTATTTTTTTTTATTACAATTACAGTACACTAACCATTATTTTTTTTTTTTTTTTTAGCAGATACCAATGTTTGAGTAAACCGCCTGTTTTTCATTTTAAAACAGTGTGGATTATATTTGTCAATCTGCGCATTTGAGAGACTTAAAAAAAAGTGCTCTCTAGCAGGACTTGTCATGGTAGTTTTTCCTGCAAAGCGGGGGTGTGCGTTCGAACCTCGCTGGAGAGTATTTTCTCTATTTATTAAGAGTTTCGAGTGCGCAGGCCGGTAGGCGTAATTCACACTGAAAAACAAAATCATGGTGTCTACTCAAACATGGTTATCCACTAAAAATAACATTTCCTTTTTAGAGTAATGAATTTCAAGTTTTATTACAGTCATCAGATGAATGTTAGTTTTCGACAGAAAGAAATATAATTTTGGGAAATTGTTATTTTCTTTAAAAAAAAAAAAAACTACAAAAAACAAAACAAATCTTTTTCGTAATTCCACCAATTTTATGAAATAAGAGTTATAGCTAAGGATTACAACACACAGTCGAGCCCTGTTACTTCTGCAGATCATATAGGCTATCGTTTTGTTAGAATTTGTTTACTAACGATGCAGCCAGTGTGAAACTGATTTCAGTATTTTCTTTCCTATAGCAGTGGTTATAATTATCAGTTAATGCTGTTAGTTTTCGTTTTAACAGACCATATTTGACGGATATGAAATCTGTGGCTTAACAGCTTATGAAACGTTTAACTTTTTTCGTCGTTGTCTACATACGACCTACATAAGAACAAAACTCTACACTAGAACTAAGCAATCAACTCACTCACTCGTTCAGCAGCCACAATTGTAGTCCGTCCGTCCGTGTGAGTGTGAGTGTGAGTGAGCGCACACGCGCGTTTTCTTTCATGTTGGTTTCGAGGGCTGACTCTGTTCAGAGATTGTTATTATTTATTTAAACACTTGAAAAATAATCACTTTTTAAACAGTTTAAAGCCAACGGTTTTAAATTTTATTATTAATTTGTTTACAAAAAAAAGAAGAAGAAAAAAGACAAACATCGTGCGGTGGAGCAGATGAAAAAAAAAAAAAAGCTGAAACACAATTACGAGCGTCGATTCGATAAAAATAATTTTTCTGGGTTGAGGGGACGCTCTCCCTCTCTCTCTCTCTCTCACTCTCTCTGTTGAAACTGTCGGTCGGAATTTCGATTTTTATTATTAATTCTTAAAAAAAAAAATTAAATAATTACTAAGTTTCAGAAAGTAAATTTAAAAAAAAAAAAAATAACATTCATCATTATTTTGTATACACCATGGGATCCCCGAGTATAACAGCTCTGATTTGGGAATAACAATCCAAGGTCAGTATCTGTAATAATCATTACGTACTTGTTAAAATTTTTGGTGTTCCATATTTAATCGATTAAAATAATAAATATATTGCTCTTTGAAAAAAATTTTCTGGTAATGATGTGCATACTCTTTGCGAAATTTGGTAAAACAAATTCTGCCATAATAAAAAAAAAAAAAAAGTCTTACTTAAATGATTACAGAAAAAAAGTGTAATTAAAATATATTTAATTTTAATATAAATAAATTGTTATTCGAAATCAAAAGAAATAAGATTAAAAAAATAATTTTTATTAACGTAGAGTAAATAAAAGATGGTAATCAGGTGAGATGTACAACAAATTCATATTGGAATTGTATAAGTGGGAAAAAGAATTTTCTAAAGACATATTTTATATATGTGTGTGTGTATATATATATATATATATATTGCAAGAAAGGCATAGGCGAATTCAGTGGGGCTAATAGTCGATAATTGTATTTATGCATTCGAAAATGGCATTTATGAGCGTTAAGCTCCGCCCACCGATGACTAAAAATGCGGCTGCATAAATTATCATTTGCCCAATCGCGCCGCAAGGTGTCGCATCGGACGCCGCTCGAGGAACCAGGATTTTGTCCCAAAATCAACAATTATTTTTTACCAGCTTTTTTCCAACACAACTTGTCTGCCTGCCTGGTTCAGGTGAGACACAATCATCTATATATTCGCCACCCCCCCACACATTTACATGTACCTAGATTCATAAACACCCCCACACTTTTTTTTTTTTTTTTTCATAGTGTTATATTTTTTTGTTTAAAAAAAAGAGAAAAACAAGATTCGTTATACTCTTTTTTTATATATACACATAATGACCCTATTTTCATTCGGTGCCGTACATGGGTCCAAATTTCTTGCCACTGATGACCTTTACAACATTGTCCACGTTTTTTCTTTGTCGATATATCATCGGAATATTGCAGAAATGTGGTCTTAAATGCGGTCGCCGGTTGTTAGCTTCCATAGCCTCCCTCCTTTGTTAAAGAGAGAAACTAGGTCAGCCAACGGGACGTAACTCTGCTGCTCGTCTTCCGCTTGTTGACAGCAAAGCATCACACTGCTTATGACTTATACAAGTCTGCTGGGATTTTGTTTTTAGATATTACTCTTATCATTACTACAACTACTACTATCTTATCTATATCTCGCGTAAATAATTCTGAGCACGTGACTGCATGTATGTTTACATTTGCGTGGTTACTTGCAGCAATATTATTTGATTACTTACTTGGTGAAATGCCTGGGAGAGGGACTAATGCAAATTTTGTCACTGGTCCCCATGTCCGGATGGTATTCCCATCGCCTTGTGCCAGTTTCCGTTCCAATGGGCGTGCAGTTATATTTGCATCGTTAAAAAAAACAAAAAAAAACTTGTACTCTAGTTTTACTGATATTTTCTTAAACAGGAAGTGAGTTATCCACATCCAATGCATTGTGGGTATTTTTGTAATATGTGCTTTATTTTATTTTCACCTTCGTTTTTCAAGTATTTTTCAATACAGCCAGTTATTATTTCATTAATATCTATTTAATGGAATGGATCAGTTTCTTTATTACTGCCTTGAATATTTTTTACTAATAGTTTTATGATTTAGAAGGCAATATTTCCACATTGAGTAATTTCATTTATCATTCAGTTTGTGACGCTCTCTGTTTTTAATTTATTTATGGGAATAATGGGCAAAAAATGAAACTAATTAACTTTCTTCCCTAATGAAACTATAAATATTCTCTATGATGAGAAAGTTTATTAATAAATTAACTGGTTTGATTATTCGTCCAATATCAGTCGCCTCTTCTTACAATTCGATTAATAAGAAGTAGTCAGTGTTTGAAATACCGCAACATTTATTTAATATTCACTCTTTGTGTATTTTATACAAGTGACGTCATAATTCGCATTTCTTAATGACGTAATAAATACATTATTTTAAAAGGGAAATACATTTCAGATGTTTCGCTCTGTTGAATTTAGTGCTAAGCAGCTAAAAATAGTCGTCACTCCTTATTTTATTTTAAACTAAAATATGTATATTTAAATGTTAAAACTTTAATTAAAGTTGGAAACTTTTTCTTATCACCAGAAAGAGTTACGAACACTGGAAATGTCCATTCTTAGATTTTTGTCTTAGTTTTGAGGTTTGACTTTTGAAAAACTTTCTCGGTCCTTTACCGGAAGTTAATTCTTTTTCTCCTTTTTTTTTTTACCTTAAATCCGGAAAGGGTCTGTCTGGTTTATTGGTTCAGGATTCCCAAAAAGATAACGGTAAATTTGCTTGGATTTACTACATTATTGATGTCAATTAAGTCTTTTATTAGATTCGTGGCTGATAAAATATTTCATGATACTTTTTTATTTCTTTGAAACTTTGACAAAAACAAACCTAATATTATTGTGGGAGTGGTTGATATTGTTCCCACAGCAATTATAATTATATATTTCTCGCGTTTTTCTTCTCCTTCGTGCTTCAGATCTTAGGACATATATTTTGCCTTTGGTATCAAAAAATCTCGCTAAACTTAAGTGACTTACAAACTTTTTTTCAGTTCAATTCTGACTGTCATTGGTCATTCACTTTTTTAAATGGAGGCCTGCTATAATGTGATATTTTGTATCGTATTTAAAGAAAAAACAAAAGCAATATTTTATTAACTCTCTATATACTCTTGTTTCTCAAATTTCAATGCCTTTGTTTCATGTCTGTTAATTAAAGGAGGATGATGTCTGTTAAAGATTGATAAGTCTTTCCCTCGTTCAAATTGGCTATACTTGTAAAAAGAGGGTTTGAAGTGATGAATGGGAGAATTACCATACTGGCGGGAGTTGCCTACTTTTGTCTTGCTACATTTTTTATATTTAACTTTGATGTCACATTTAGTCATCACTTCACAATATACATATTTTTTTTTTTTTTTTGTTGCACATACTAAGTTAAAATATTTTGACTTTTCTTAATATTTGTTTTTTTGTTTGATGGACAAGAGCTTTTTTCTTTCTTTTCATTGATTACTCACTTTTTGCTTAAAATAAACATTTTAGGGGTGATGATGTTTTAAACGATTCCTGTATGCCACACAACACACTGATTTACTTTACTTCCCTGATATTCTTTTTCAACTACCCTCATACGTCTAAAATACAATATAATTTTTTTCAATTTTTATCATTTATTTTTATCTATTTTTACACGAAACTAAAACTAAAAAGTAAAAACTGAAACTTTTTTTTTAGCTCTGAATAAAAATTTAAGAATATAAATTTATGTAGGAAGTTATTTTGAGCTGAATTTCTTACTTCTGGGGGTACATTTCCCCTTCACATATAGAATGGAAATAATTCTTCTTAACTAGAATGATTTTTTTTTTTCTTTGTTATTCTATTGCAAGCTTCTATATAAACACTGAACCATCGGAAAATGATTCGGAAGATGAAGTTAGTTAAAAAGAAAAAAAATGTAAAAGACAGAAAATCGTTTGAAACAATGAAGTGAACTTAACCCTCTTTTCACTTTTAGCTCAATATTTTTCTTCCTTTTTTCACATCTTTCTGATTTAAAAGAAACATTCAATAAAAAATGAAAATATTGTGTCTGAGACACAGTATTTATACAGTATTGATTGATTGGTCTTCTTTTTTTTTACCCTCCACGGATTCCCTAAAAAAATAAAATTAGCATACGTGATGAAAAAATGTCCCCGAAAAAACTTCATAAAAACAGTTTTATATCGTCAAAAAAAAAAAAAAAAATCTTTAAGAGGAAAGACTAAAGAGCAAAGGTCCTTTTGTCTTTCCTCCTCTTAAAGATTTGGCAAACGATTTTTTGATTATTAAATTATTGTTTTTTTTATTTAATTTAACCGAACGTTCGGAATTTTGGTTAAAAAATCTTTTTTTCCTTTTCCTCCATTTTTTGGTGGTGGGTGGGGACCAATGATTAAAATAGGAAAAATTTTAGCGTTTTTTTTTTTTTTTTTTTTTTTTTTTTTTCGGTAAAAAACATTGATTTGAGAATTCTTGCAAAAATCAAATGTCGGGGTTTAATGAATCTCTCAGAACTTACTAATTAATCAAATTATTTTAGAAATATACCCAAGAAAATCTTCGTAAAACTTTTTTTTTTTTTTTTTTTACCTGTTTCCCCAATTTATTTAATTTCGTGAAATTTCGAGGAATTAAGTTTTAAATCATCAGATTTTTTTTTTGTAAAGCTCAGTTACCGAAAATCTGCAATAAAACTAAGGACTTTTAATTAGAAAAACTTTTTAATTGCTTTCCTGTTTACTACAATTCAGCGACCTCCCAAATATTTTAAAAAGATTTTTTTTTTTTTTTAAATACTGACTTCCATGCACGACATTCCGGAAAATAAGAGTAATAACTATAGTAAATTTAAAGCTAAAGTACCTGAAATGCAATAAAACATTAGATTATGGAGAATATTTTCCTAAATTTTTAATTTAGTGGATAATTAAAAAAATTTATTTTTATTTTATTTTATTTTATTTTTTTAAGCGCTCACATTACTATTTATTCAAGTGATTTTTACAGATATGTCCACCATAGAAAAAAAATTAAACTTCCGGCTGTCAGTGAAACTGTCAGCAATTTTAAAAAAACCGGCTACTGCCCTGTTAAAAAAATGCATTTCTGCAATATTTGAAACAATATTTATCGCAAATCAGATTAATTAAACTTTAAATTAGTTAATATTCCTCAAGTAAAGTTTCAGCCACCTATATTTTATTTCTAAAAGAATTTTTTTAATAAAGAGAATTACATTTTAGCACCGTTTTAACCATTGACAGATGGCTAAAATGTTTTTGTTTTTTTTGTTTTTTTTTTCAAAATAAAAACTCCTTCCAGTCAATTTAAATTAGTTTTGAATTACAGCAAATTATTTTGTTTATGGGGAATATTAAATGTATTCTATTAGCTTGAAATTAAAACTAAAAATTTTCAAGAAAGATTTTTTTTTTTTTTTAAATTCATTTTAAATTTTAGGTATTGCATCTCTAGGAAGGTACCTAGTCTGATGCAAAAGTGATACATTTCATCTGAAAATGGAAGCTGATTTTTAAATGTGACTTGTGGAGATTAAGTTTTTAAAAGTCCTCCTCATAAATACTTACTCTTTATGACTTAAAACATTAGATGTAAAGTGTATATATGCATTTTTGAGCTTATCATTTCTTTACTTTTTAAAATTTTTGATCTTTATTTTAATGATTTGAAAGATTCATGCTCAAACAAAAGATAATTTAATCCTTACACTTCTATTTTGGTATTTACTCCTTATTTGTTTTTTCAATTTGTGTCTTTGTCTTACTGTTTTGACCAAAGTTTATTTTTACTTTGTAGAAAGGAAAACTGGTTCAAGAGATGAAACAAACCCCCTAACACGAAATATGATGTTTACACTTGTTAAAATATAAATTTGACAATTTCCATAAATGATATCTGATTGGGGGGGTGTATATATATATATATATATATATATATATATATATATATATATATATATATAATATTGTTTTTATCCTCGTTCATTCCTTAAAATAGATTATGGGCATGAAAATGACCTAATATAACATGAAAACTTAATATGCTGAGCTCAATAAGCATTTCATTGAGGAATCAATTT